CCAGGTAATCTACCATTTTCACTTGGATTATAGCTTCCATTATTTTTCCAGTAATGCTAGTTAAACTGATTGGCCTATAGTTTGCTGGATTACTTCTATCCCCTTTTTTGAATATGGGTGTTATATTAGCATGCTTCCAATCAGAAGGTACCAAACCTGCAGATAATGATTTCCGGAATATTAAAGTTAAAGGTTGGCTAATAACATCCCTCATCTCTTTTAAAACTATAGGTAAGATGCCATCAGGGCCCTGCGATTTATTCATTTTGAGTTTAGCTAGACTTAGTACCACATCAGCCTCAGTTATAGATGTATTGGTCATAGACGACACTGTATTCGTACTAATTGGTGGTAAGTTACTTGAGTTCTCTACTGTGAACACCCGTGAAAAATAATCATTTAACTCATTTACTATAACATGTTTGGCACATCAATAAAGAATGTCCTAAAATTGAACCCTGCGGTACCCCACTATGAAGGCAGGCCCATTTGGCTCATGCTATTCATTATTCAGCATAAGAACTGCGTTAGGTTAAAGAATGTATCAGGGTTAGGGTGAGGGTATGCACTTTGTGTTGATTTAATACATTTGAGAGTTAGATTTGGCCCACAATGATCTGCACCCATCCATCTGTCCTGATTACCCAGTGCAGGGTGGAAGTGAGTCTGCAGCCCATGCCAGGGGGCACAGGGCACAGGGAACGGGGCAGCCTGGGCACAGTCACACAGTCATTCTTCAGGGTGTATTTAGAGTCACCAGGTCACCTAACTGCATGTCTTTGGACTGCAGGAGAAGAATAAAGCAACCCGAAAGAGAACCCAGATATAAGGCAGTTCCTCTGTCACTGTGTTTGTGTAAATAATAATAATAAGAGTGAGAAAACTGGCCAGAAAGAAGGAGCATTGAGTAGCCGTGGAAACAGATGGGGGTTGCTATTTGGGGGGGGGGGGGGGAGCAGTGGATAAGTGCATAAAATGGTAGGTGATCTGTGGTACTGTTCCACTTTCCAGCCATTTGAATCCTGTAAATTATGGGATGTTAAAAGAAAGAACAGTTGTTTACAGATCCATGGATTATTGAAATGTAATTTTAGCATTTATTTCAAAACCCCCCCTTTCTAATGGCGACGTGATGTACTCCCATTAAGCTTGTTTGTTTTTCAGTCAAGCCATGTGCCACAGTCCAGGATGAATTGTATCAATGTTGGTGGGGGGGGGGGGGGATGTCTCACTCGTTTGTAGCCCATCACTTGGAGGTATATTATAGGTCTGTAGGGAATGCTTCTGACATTATGGGCAAACTTTCACCATCACAGAAAACATGGTTAATTCTCCTCTGCCACTATGGAGCCCCTGGCCCTCAAAGTTAGTGGACGATCGTACCATGATTCATCTGGGCATAATGGGCAAGAGCATCCTAGAAGACTTGTGAAGCACAGCTGGGTACATTAGTGCCTTTGGGAACAGCCATTTACTGAGAATGTCCTCTGTGACCTTGAGCATTTTCTCTCACCCAGGTTAAGGTCACGAAGGACAAATCGGCCAATGAGGAAACAGTCCTGCTGTCTACACTTTCCAGGGGGGATTGGTTTGGAGAACAGGCTCTTAAAGGGTAAGAACAGATGTCCTTGAGGATGAAAGCTTAGAGGGTAAGAGCGGACATGGACAAAGAAAGGGGTTACAGGGTAAAAGCAAATGAAGACAAGGGCTTAGAGGGTAAGAGCGGACGGAGACGGGGGCTTAGAGGGTAAGAGCAGATGCAGACAAGGACAGGAACTTGTGAGTAAAGGCGGATGCACTCAGTGATGGGGTTTTGCTTGTGAGGACCAAGACGTCAAGACGCCCACAGTCGTGAGTCGGTTTCTGTGAAAGTGGCACTGGGAGCCACGGGCGTTATGTTCTAGGCTGTTCCCGCCTGCTGGCTATGCGTATGGGCACTGTGCCCCGCCGAGCTAGTACAGCATTTATGCAAATACACAGGCCGCTTGCACCGTGTAAAGTCGGAGTGAAAGTCTGGACATGTTCCCTGGGGGTGGCTTCCGGACGTTTCGCAGGTTCAAGCTCTCCGTGTCTGTGTACCTGTATGAGGGCCAGTCTGGCCTTTCCTGACTGGATGCATCATGGCTGTCTGAGCCACTCAAGACTTAATGCCCCAAAGGCTGAATGAGACGTGTGGCCTCTTCTCCCCTCCGGCCTGTTCCCAGGGAGGACGTGAGGATGGCAAATGTCATCGCGGTGGGAGATGTGACATGTCTGGTCATAGACAGAGAGTAAGTCATTCTCCTGGAGCCCAGCAGCACACAGGCCATGAATCTAAGATGAACGGCACTGACTTGGTTACCGAAAACCCGCCATGCCCTACAGGACCTTCAAACAGTTGATAGGTGGCCTGGAGGATGTCAGCAGGAAGGTTGACGAGACCGATGAGGCCAAAGTCAAGTGAGCATGTACCATGTTTACCTGTCTAAAGTGCCCTTTCGTCTGTCCGAAGTGCTGAACTGTATCTGTCTCACATGCTGTGTAACTTGTGCTTCATCTCAGCATGATGCTCACTTTCTGTTACGGCTGTTTTTCTACACCCTCCTCTGCTTACCGCTTCCTGCCGGGATCAGGCTGGAAGCGGAAGCTGTCTTCTTCTCCAGCCTGTCTCTCAGTGATTTCCGGGTCATCTGCACCCTGGGCATAGGCGGGTTCAGCCGCGTGGAGCTGGTGAGTGTCCTGTCTTCTTCCGGCGGTTGAACGTGCTGGGCAGACTCACCAGTGCGGTGGTGCCCGGTTCCTACTAGGTGCAGCTGAAGAACGACCCCGACCGCACTTTTGCGATGAAGGTCCTGAAGAAGCGCCACATCCTGGACACCAGCCAGCAGGGACACATCCTGTCTGAGAGGCAGATCATGATGGAGGCCCACAGCCCCTTCACCGTCAGGTTTGGGCCTCACCCTCAGCTTTCGTAGCCATCGTTTCCACACACGGTGGCCTGCAGGATGATCTGTCCTTCTGCCTTGATTCTAGGCTCTACCGCACCTTCAGGGACGCTAAGTACCTTTACATGCTCTTAGAGGCCTGCCTAGGGGGAGAGCTCTGGACCCTGCTCAGAGACAGGTACTGCTGTGCCTTCTCTCCCAGCATGCACTGGGGCCGCTGTGTTTGTCCAACGCCACTTTCACTGGTCATACCCCCCTCCCCCAGGGGCTCCTTCGATGAAGGCACCACGCGCTTCTACACCGCCTGCATGGCTGAGGCGCTGTACTTCCTGCACTGTCGGGGAATCATCTACCGCGACCTGAAGCCAGAGAACATCATCCTGGACCAGCGTGGATACGCTAAGCTGGTGCCCGCTCTAAGCCGTCTGGGGTGCCGCTAGGGCTCTGCGTGGGAGGGTCCTGGTTTGGGTCAATTGGCAGGATGTCTGCAGGGAAAAGGGTAGAGTGGCTGACGAGGAACTGAACAGCAGGGGGCGTAGGCTGCAGCCTCGGGGACAGCATGGATATCGATCATTAAAGCAGGGGTGGGCAATCTTATCCAGAAAGGGCCATTGGGTGTGCGGGTTTTCGCTGCAACTCCCTAATTCGATTACTAATTAGAGGACTGACTGAGTGAAGAGTTCTCACACCTGAACAGCTGAATAGCGATCCCAAAATCCTGCATATGCATATGTTATTACATTTTCTGTTGTTGTATTGTTTTTGTTGTTAATAATAGTAATATAATAATAATAATAATAATAATAATAATAATAATAATAATAATAATAATAATAGTAATGACTTACCCAACCCAATTTGTAGGACTAATGCTCTCAGAGTACATAATAATCTGTCCCAGTGAATCCAGCAAATCTAATAGCATCGCTCTTCAAAGAAAAACTAGGGCTACAGGGGCCTCTCTGATGAATGTGAGGAGTTTCATCAAGCTGGCTTTTGTGATCAGACAAAAGGTTAGAAAAAATACACCAGAGGAGGGTTTTTTTTTTTTTTTTAAAAAAAAAAAGGTCTGATCCTTTTAACAGAAGATTGTGAGGAGCACCTGAACAGAAGCGCACAGAGTGTGAACACGCCAACGTAACCAAGCAAGCTCCCCGGGGTCAGCCTGGGTACAGATATCAGCCAATCGAAACACCCCACGGGGTCAGCCTGGGTACAGATATCAGCCAATCGAAACGCCCCATGGGGTCAGCCTGGGTACAGATATCAGCCAATCGAAACGCCCCACGGCCACGCTTCCTGTCAGCTGGAGCTTCCTCGAATCTGGCCCCTGTCGCAATGCAGTGAACCGCTGCTAAGCTTCTTCAGTCATATTTTTTAACTGATGAAATGTCACTGAAAGCCAAAATTCAGTATTTATGCCTTGTGCCCTTTGCTGCTTGGGATCAACTCTGGGTTCTCCCTGGCCATGTAATATGGGTGGGTCTTTTTTAAAATATATATAATTAATGCATTATCTGTTACCTTTGTTGAGGTGTGAAGGCTCTTTCGCACTGCCTTGTCTGACCAGCGCTCCACTGGGTTCTATTGTGGCTCATATACAGTTTCATCTCAGGGTTCGGCCGTTTTGTCGGTAGTGCCGTCATCACACATTGTGACGAGCCTTTTATGTCTTTCCAGGGCGATGTTTTTTCATATAAAACTACAGACCGAAGTTACCCAACCTGACGCTTTATGGCTACATTGGTTCTTCTTTCTACAGCTTAATTCTCTGTTCAGTCCATTTCATTGGCTGTTCGATCTTTTCTGTGGGAATTCAGTTTCCTTTAAACCTCTTTCTCTACCTCTAACCGTGTAACTCAGAATATATCTGTATTGTATATTATAGAGTATTGCACAATGGTATATTTCACTTACTCTGAGTTTCACTGAACTATTATCGGATAGTAGCAGAGAGCATATTGGTGCTTTAAAGATACAAACTAGATTCTGAGTTCTCGCCAATCACAGGAATCATCTGGAAGGTCAAACCAGCGTGTCTCTGACTTTACAAGGCTTATCATCATATATCAGACATCTTCTGATTAAATGACATGAGTCTCATGTTTTTAGATTGGATTTCTGAGGAATATTTCTGTGGGCATGTTCAGGTTCATTATATAAATATCTTTAGTTTGTATTTAGACAGACTGTGGTGTTTTGCAGCTTCCTGCCTGAGAGTAACTGAGAGTAACTGAGAGTAATAATTGAACGGAGCAGAATAAGAGTAATTCCTGCATTTCCTGCACTTGCAACCAACACCGACAAATATGCTCATTCACGCACTTGATAGGGTGGCACTGCGGGTGGCACTGCGGGTGGCACTGCAGCCTCACATTCAGCTCTCTGTGTCTGTGGCCTTTGCCGGTTCTTCCTGTGTTTTTATGGCTTTACTCTGGTTTCCTCCTGCATAAATATGCTGTTAATTAGTGATTCTAAACTGGTTGAGTGTGTGGGTCTGTGCACTGTGATGGACAGGAGAATGACTGTATTTCTGAATAAGGTTAAGTTTTGCCCTCCACAGTATGCCAGTCTAGAATGGTCTATCGCCAAAGTACGCAGAGAGCCGCGTCGTGGCACGTCACATGCCCAGCAGAAGTGACACGTCCACGTCCTTGTTGTTCTCCTGTCCTCTGCAGGTAGACTTTGGCTTCTCCAAGAAAGTGGGCTTAGGGAAGAAGACGTGGACTTTCTGCGGAACCCCAGAGTATGTCGCCCCCGAGATCATCCTGAACAAGGGCCACGACGTCTCTGCAGACTGCTGGTCCCTGGGCATCCTCATCTTCGAGCTGCTGAGCGGGAGGTGAGGCCAGAAGGTTCGGGAAGGATTCCAGAGGGCGGGATATGGAATGCAGAGGGGGTCTCTGTGACCGCTTTAGGTCAGGGAGGACACTGTCTGCATGCTGCCTTTGTCACTCAGGGATGTACTGTCACCCCCACCCGTCACGACTGGCTGTTCTTTGACCGTCCTCAACCCTCTAGCCCCCCATTCTCGGGCTCAGACCCCATGAAGACATACAACATCATATTGCGAGGGATCGACATGGTGGAGTTCCCCAAGAAGATCACGAAGAGCGCGGCCAACCTCATCAAGAGGCTGTGCAGGTCTGATGCTCGGATTCACCTGCGTCTGTGTATGTGTGTGTGTGTCTGTGTGTGTGTGTGTGTGCGTGTGTCTGTGTATGTGTGTGTCTGTGTGTGTGTGTGCGTGTGTCTGTGTATGTGTCTGCGTGAACTGTGTGTGTGATGCGTGTGCGTGTGTCTGTGTGTGTGCGTGTGTCTGTGTGTGTGATGCGTGTGTCTGTGTGTGTGTGTGTGTGTGTGTGTGATGCGTGAGCGTGTGTCTGTGTTTGTGTGTGCGTGTGTCTGTGTGTGTGATGTGTGAGCGCACCAGCACCTAGGAGAATTCAGCTCCTCACGGCAAAACCATGTTCTGACCCACAGAGACAACCCTTCAGAGAGACTCGGCAATCAGAAAAATGGAGTCAGAGACATTCAGAAACACAAGTAAGAGCCGTAACAGGCACTGATGGAAGCCACAAGAATGAGAGGGAGGCAACGGCCAGGAAAGGAATTAAAAAGGGAAGCATTTTATCCCCCAAAGAGGTTACTGTAACATTACCATGTCTCTAAGGGCATTAAATGGGATGCAGTTAGAATTTATAAATGAAAAATGCAAGTAATTGTACTATAATTTGCCATATATAAAGAAAATTGGGAAAAAAAAGTGTGCTATTGCTTTTACCAGGTGGTTTGAAGGATTCAACTGGGAAGGAATTCGGAAAGGCACCTTGACCCCCCCGATCATTCCCGATGTAAGAGAGACTGGAGGAGGTTTTGGGGGTGAGGGGGTGGGGGGTGTCCACAATGCCTACCTTGTGTTCTCAGTTTTGTTTCTAATTAGTATTAATACAGTATTTATGCAGCAGAAATGTTCAGATGTTTTTCATAGAAAGATTTTATTACAATGCCCCCCTCATAATAAATATTACAAAAGTGCATGATGGGACATACAATATATCCTGTAGCGATCATAGATAGACATCAACAGAGTCAAAAAATGAATGAAGGAAGAATTTTTATGGGGTATTTCGCAAACATCAATATTCAAATCTAAGTACAAGGAAGGGAGGAAAGGTGCTAATCACTAAAATTCAAGTTTTACAACCATGGAAATACCTAAATGCTGAAAAGTCCCCCAAATGTGAAGAAGCCAGTATATGATGGTTAAATATTCCTCCCCCCAGGTCAGCGGCCCCCTTGACACCAGCAATTTCGACTGCTTCCCCAGTGACACGGAGGACCCCCCCCCTCCAGACGAGGAGTCAGGCTGGGATGCCGAGTTTTAAGCAGAATAGATCCGACATGCCTTGTTGAAGGTGGAATGACGTCCAGCAGGGGGAGCCACCAGCAGCGTGTTGTGAAAGGGCTGTTTCCATTAAGCCGGTATTTCTGGACTGAAGACAGACTTTAAGAAAACAATGCAGTGTTTATAAGACAGTAGAATGGACTGGGAATTTTTTAGTCTGTAAATCAGTCAGGATTTTGTAATGTAAGCATTGAAGGTTATAGTAAACATTTGTGATATTAAAAAGTAAATCTCTATAATATTTAATGATCAGAGTTATATTGTGTGTCCTGGATATTACAAATGATAACTGTGACTGTGTTTATCACTAATTTGGCCTAGAACAGCAAAATATATGATAACCACTGCATTGACTTAATGCCTTTTCATAATAGTATCAAAATATTTTATTTGCAGAATAATAATTTTATAACACTACAGTACTTTAATAAACAGAATTCATTTGCATATGTTTATATAATTTAATTTTTTATGGAATTACTTTTTATCTGTCACTTTTACACTAGTTAGGAGCATTTAATAAATAAATAAGCTTTAATTTGGCTGAAAAGTAAGTACATCTTGTTTATTACTTTTCTCTGGTCTATCTTCATTCTGTAACTTTTTTTTATCTGTATGGGAGTTTAGAGGTTAACTTTTCAGAATGATTCGGATAACTCCTTTTTCGTAGCTTTTTTTCCTCCTTCCTAAACTGTTATTTTACTGGAGTAATTAGATATATTATGTTGAGTATCTTGCTCAGCGGATTATACTGCTGGGACTTGTACCAGCCATACTCATTTTACCACCACCTTGCTGAGTAGGTTTTATGAGTATTATTGAGGAGTATGGAGGTACTGCAGTAGCACGAGGCCCCATGTCACACTGTAAGCACAGTTGTTCAATACTGCAATACAGGTCGTGTGGCCGGCGTCATTCTCCGACTGTCAGCGTGTCGACCTTTATGAGCTGACCCAGAATCTACAGAAAAATGGACCATGGAGAGGAAAAGCACAGAAAAGTGTAACACTGCAACAGCAGCAGAGGGAACGTGCCGGAGTAAAGGCACTGAAGAGAAACCAGGTGCTTGCTGGGAGAAAGAAACACGAATAGGGAAGGTACCGGGAGAAACGGAGGAAAAGTGGCTGCAGCAGGAGAAAACGACAGTAGCGAGAGATGTAAAAAGAGAAACAGAGATTAGCAACTATCAGGATGAGTGAAACCAACATCAGTCATGGAAATGTTGAGAGAAACAGACAGCAGTTTATCAATAACCCTTAAGGCAACCCTAACCCTAGCTATAACTCTAATAGCATAACCTTAACCCTGGCTATAACTCTAATAGCATAACCCTAACCCTAGCTATAACTCTAATAGCATAACCCTAACCCTAGCTATAACTCTAATAGTATAACCCTAACCCTAGCTATAACTCTAATGGCATAACCATCAGTCAGGATGAGGGAAACCAACACGAGGGAGGGATATGGCGGAAGTACCCAGAATCAGAGAAGGAAGGATAAATCAACTTTAAATAAGTGATGGAAAATTGAGGAAGATAAAAGCAACAATAGCCGTAGTATCTAGCCATTAAGGTGAATAGAGAAAGTACTGGGAGAAACCATCACAGTCACCCCTCAGTGGGAAATCATACTGGTGAAACCAAAAACAAACAGTTGATTGATAGGGTGTGAGTGATGTTTTCATCAAGCTGCTTAGCCGAGAGTGTAGCCTGGGCAAATTGACTGGGACACCATTTAGTTTTCTGTTGTTATTTTGTTTTGTAAGACCTTCCCAGAGGTACCGGTGAACGCTCACTAATATTGCAAAAAATGAATGCCAAGGTCAACAGAAAAAATGTTAAAGTATCACAGATGCCCTTGCTTTCATTCAGCACAAAAAAAAATATTTAGAGAGGTGCAGCATGTGCAAATCAAAGGGGGAATTCCTTGGCCAGCTAACAATTATGAATGCATTTGGAATTTCGGATATTACTGACCAGCAGTAGAAGTATTTCCAAAAAGCCCTAGTCCCGTTGCCTATGGGGCTGCATAACTGCAGGCCAGTCAGAGTGCACATGCTGACCACTACCCACCATCAAAAGCGTCAACAATGGGCATGCAAGCATCGTACCTGGGCCTTGGAGCAATGGAATAAGGCTGCCTGGTTTGATGAATCCCATTTTCTGCTGCATCATGTGGATGGCTGGGTATGAGTGGAATGTAATGGACTGACAAGTCCGATCCATGGTTACGTACGTAACCTCAAACACAACACAACACAAGATCATTACTCCAGTTATTATAATCAAAATTATCTACCATGCCAACATAGCCCTTCCACATGGGGTAACCTTCATTCACATGTCACCTCGATGGATTATGACTAACCACTGTGAGCAGGTACTCACCACGGCTGACCGTCAGCACCCCCAATCCTTGGTGTTTTGGAGATTCTCTGACCCAAACATCTGGCCATAATGATTTGGCCCTTATTAGAGTCACTCTGATCTTTTTCCCTGCCCAAGCCTTGGCACATATCATTTCTACAATTTAGTCAACATTACTTGTTTCACATGGGGGTGCTCATAATGTTTTAGCTCATTGGTGTGTGTGTGTGTGTGTGTGTGTGTGTGTGTGTGTGTGTATATATATATATATATATATATATATATATTGTCACTGCCAAAGGTCATTGCCTTGCACCATATTTTCATGGACACAAAACAAACCCGTATTACAGTGACCTGGGAGGCTGTTGCTAACTTTGGTTGAAGCTCAGTTGTGTGTCACCACTTTTTGAAAATCTTAAGCACATTTAACAATACCACAATAATACTGATAACTTTGATAACTTTGGTCACCATAATCGTGATATTAAATTTTCACACAGTTTCATCTGTAGTTCCAACAAAATTTCACAATAAGAAAATTGCTGGGTTGTTAGATGAAGCCATTTCACAGTATCACTTACATGCAAGTCTTCAGGTATCGTGGCCATTGTTTTTCAACTCTGGTCTTACTGTCAGGGCTCAGATGTTTGAAATAACAGGCCTCTGGCCAAACCGTTTCTTCTTCTTCTGTTTTTGGCAGTTGGAAAATAATATTTGGTGCACTAACGCCACCTTCTGGAAAGGAGTGCAGATCTGGTTGACCTCTGGCCAAATTGCATGCCTCTTGTTCAGTTAGGGGAAGCTGTCAATCAAGGGACAAGTTGGGTCTTGTGGGTGTAACCGCGTTGAAAGTGACCAATCATAAGAGGGCCAGGGGTCTCCCTTGGTTTCCTTCCCCAAATTGTCAAAAGTCAGGTTGATTTGCACAAGCAGAGCTCAGCTTCGAGAGCAGAATTCACGTCACGCAAGCAGCATTTCTCACTTGCAGCTGCCGGTACTATGCTGAAATGCTGAATTTGGGCACGAGGGTTGCAAAGACTTGCGAGTAGGCCATTAATACCTGTGCGCAAAATATAATTTACTGGTGAGTATGTTATTGCACTTGTGACTTTTGACATAAATGTAATGCTATACGGGTTAACACCCACAGAACTGTGGCCGTAATTCCGACCTTTGGCAGAGTCAAACAAATTGACAGAAAAATGTATAGTTTCATTTCCAAAATGCCTGTTGTTCTGTTATGTAGACTCTGTTATCCCTGATCGTTATGAGATGTGTTTACTATGTTCATCTGCACTGCAGCACAGCCATGAGCAAAAATTATGGGGGGATAGGGAGGTTGTAACCCCCCAATAATCAAAACCAGCCAATACAACCCCCTGGAAACCCTTAAATGGCTGGAGACCTCAACTTCCCCAATGCTGAACCGAAAGTTATGATCTTGAGCGCAGTCTAGGAAAAACACATGAATGCACAGAAAAATGTGGTAAATTTGAAAAATTGCACGCTCTTGCAAATTTTGCTGAGTTTTCAGGATTTTTTTTCTGTGATCACAAAATTGCGAAATCCTGGAGGGACCTGCTGAAAAGATCAGGGGCGGTTGCAAAAATCAAGACTTTGCTCCTGCAGAAATGTTCAGCTCCTCATTAAATTATGTAAGTCTTAATGTTTATGAGTCTTTATCCAGGAGTTGGAGGCTGTAGGACTTTAGCTTGAAACACATGCACAAAATAGCCAATAGCAGATGGGTATATTGTGGCCATGAAGGGTTGCAGATGGTCAGCAACAATATACAAGTAGGTTGTGGCATTTGAGAAATGGTTGGTGTTAACAGGTACAGTGGGTGTTTCTTGCTTTTCGAACTCTGGAGACTGTTGTGCATGAAGATCACAGGACATCGACAGTTACAGAAATACTCAAACCAGCCCATCTGGAACCAGCAATCGTGACATGGTCAAGATCACCAAGATCACATCTTTTTCCTCATTCTGGTGTGTGACGTGAACATTACATGAAACTCCTAATCTTCCTAATCTGTAGCTGCATGATATTATGCACTGCGCTGCTGCCACATATTTGACTGATTAGATAATTATATGAATAAGAAGATGTACAAATTTTCCTAATAAAACGCTCAGCGAGTGTAACACTCGGCACTCTGATGGAAAGGAAAGGGTTCAGTTTACTGCTTATTTCTACTCCAAGCATGGAGACTATTATGGGTAATTAAAAATCCATGAATATCGGTTGTTTAGACAAGTAATTGAACACGCCTAACTGTGTAGAAGAGTGTCGCATACGAAAGGTTTAATGATCATGAAGTGTCTGAGAAAGCGTAAAATAGCATGTCACCACGGCACCTACAGTAAAAAGTAAATTATTCCGGGTCACGCCACAGTCATGTGCAATATGTAACTGTAATGTAAAGTGCGTGATCATGTATTAATGTTGTAAATAATAAGTGTTTTACCCGTCTAATGTTGTACCATAGAAAGCGAGTTTCCATTAGTATCTACCCTGAGTGTGAGAGTTAATTTTCGACTTATCGAAAAATGGTTATCGCTGGCAGCGGGCGGTAAATAAACCTGAGCTTGAGTTTTTAATCAGCTGATATCTCCCTTATTTAAAAAAGGAGCCACACCCATGTTACAATAATATTTAATACGGGAAACAACGCGATGTTACAGTAGGACTTTATGAATCCTGAAGACACGTAATTCTGTTTACTACAAGGGCATTATTTGAGTATAAACGACGGTGATTTAAATATTGCGTTATAGGTTAATTTACAGGAGGATTCTTACGAAATATATACATGTTTCACATAACTGTACCGTTGGACTGGACGAAGTAATTTTGTGTTAATATAAATACTCTAGGTATTATAATACTCTTCGATCTGACCTACATTTTAATATTAAAATAAATATTTATGTTATTATATTGGAGTTTGAGTGATTCAGATTAATATGTAGGCTAGTCTGAGCTGAAGACTGAGTAAAATATAACACGTGCTTAGACTATTAAATGTAATATTCTGTATTCTGCATGTATCATTCTGTAGCCAGTCTGTGCGGACTAGAGGATGTAAGGATCATGTGAGCAAAAAACTTACCTTCTTATGTTCTTATAATAGTGTAAGCGTTTTGTGGGCATTCTCGTGTTATCTTGGAGCCGGTGTCGGTGTCAGATCGGTGCGCCTTTCGCGATAATAATTCCGCTTAATTGCCCTCTAGACTGGATCCATATTAAAGGCGTTTGTCTTTAATAACCCGAAGATGTGACAAAGGACGGAATGGAGACGTGTATCCCAACTTTTTGTGGCATGTATTACATAAGCCCGCGGGGTGATGTAACGCCATGGCAAAACTTGTATTTCTTCTTTACTGGCATTTTCATACGCTCGAATTTCGGTGGAACTGTTTATTACTGAAGCACATTCACATTTTTTCTTTAATTACATTTTTTTCCAAACTATACGTGTGACCTGTACCCTACACCCTGTACGTGTTGTACCGGTGCTTGCTGGCACAGTCCAGCCCCGTTAATATAATTGCCATTCGCTTCTCGCAGGATGACGCCAGTCAATAAAGGAGGGGGAAAGGGCGGCGTTTCGGGGCCGGAGGGGGGGCACTTTCCACGACTCTGTGGGACCGATCCATCTCCACCTCCTTTCTGAAGTTACACGGCCAGCCCAAGCACATAAACCGGGCGTTTTTCACAGGTAAGCCTGACTTTTCCTGTTTCCAGATTCACAACAATACAGCAAAATAAAAAAGCGGACTGAAGACCGAGGCGCAGTGGGATAGCCTCGTAACTTCCTTATGCGGTATCACTTAACAAAGTTTTGCTTAAACGCCGGATGAAGTGTTAATGTGGATCCCAGCGTTTGCAGAAACAGGCGCGATACGGGAACATTCACTTGGGAAGAAAAGTTAAAAAATCGGTAGGTAAATATTTCGGGTTGGCTTAGCAGTATTGCATTTTTAGTAAGACTGCTGGTCATGTGTAAAAGTCAATTAGATCTGCATCAGGCTCCCTAATTCTTATGTAACTTTTGAAAGTTAGTCTAGATGAACGAAAACGTGTTTTAGCAACAGATGTGCAGAAATGACACGTTTTCAAGACATCAGTGATGTGTTTCCTCTTACGGAGGGCATTTAAAGAGGCAAAGCGTCGAAGTGCACCCATGTACACATCACTACATGTTCGCCGTGTTCTTCCGGAGGGCTGCGGCAGATCCATGGGGGCAGCCGGCATGGATCGGACCGCGGCAAAACCTCATGTTCTGGGTCGACGTGGCCGCACGTTTGTGTGCGGCATTGTGCAGGATCCGTGCACTTATCGTGGCGCCCCCTCGCTTTCATGTTTCTATGTGTGTGTGTCTACGTGTCTCGGCTGGTTTTACTGTCACACTGTCTTGTCTGACACGGACCACACTGGAAAGTTTTTTGCAGGAATGCATGCAGACGCAGTAAAGGACTTTACTCATGCCTTGGGGCAGCTTAGTCCCGCAGGCCAGACTATAGGGCTGGGTGGACTGGCGCATCTTAAACTTGAAGTTCGACCCTGTGATAGAAGTTCAGTGACAGTGCAGGTTACATAATTACGGTAATTAATTAGTAAATAATTACGGTAGCAATTATTCACCCTGGAAGCCTTTCTTGTGGTTTTTATGAGAGTGTGCTCCATCCCTAATCGCCGCAGGAATTTCAGCGAATGTCGTGCAGTTGGGATTATAGACTGCTGGCATGTCGGAGGTGGCGCGCCGCGGCAGCGCGACAGTCACCGGAAGCCTTGCGCTGCTCCCGGGCCACCACGCGCTCCCCTTTCCTCCTCATTGCGATGGCGTTCATGCTCTTCATGGTTCGTTTAGGTATCAGAGCCTGAGAACACCCAGCCATTCACTTGCGCCCCCCACCCCATGTCCTTTTTTTATACTGCTTCCTCCCCGCACCTATTCTCTAAAAATGTTCACCCGTTGTGCCGTTGCATGGTACTCGTCCATCTTTACTGCTGTGAGTTTACGTGCGCTGTCGCCCCCCCCCCCTTTCCCATCCCTCTCTCACCCGATTTGTATGGGTTACCCGCTCACTTTTGTCAGCCTTTTGCAGACAAAGGTTTCCTTGTTCTGGGGCGTCATGGCTGGACGGGGGAACTGAGATTCATGGTTGCTGTGTGTGTGTGTGTGTGTGTGTGTTAGGAAGAAGTTCTGGTCAAGGGCTGAGGCAGTGTGACACTTCAGACAGGGAGCCGTATTGTGACTGACCAAGGACGATGGAGGTAGTGTTCTGCAGGTGATGTCAGGGGAGTGACCACAGTAAGAACAGTAGCTGATTCTTTCAACACAGTTGCTGCAATATTGCGATCAACTAAACGTGTGACTTCAGCTTGGCTGTGCTTGGCCAGTAGGCCTCCATTTTCGGTCTGGAAAGTGGATTCAAGCTTCTCAGCAGAGTGCTGTAAACCCTGAAATGGGGCTTGAGAGCTTCAGAGCTGGTCAAGCTCTCTCTCTCTCTCTCTGTCCCTGTCTCTCTCTCTCTCTGTCCCTGTCTCTCTCTCTCTCTCCCTCTCTCTCTCTCTGTCCCTGTCTCTCTGTCTCTCTGTCTCAGCCAGTTTCTGGGTCAAAGGATGGCATTCCTAACTCCACACCCCACCCCCAGAACATAATGACAAACACTCCCAAACCTATTCACATGGGTGACTTTGTGTGACTTCCGGTTCCCAAATAGATTTGCTTAAACTCAGTATAATAACCCCGCCCCCCCCCCTCAAAATACCCCAAACCTAGGGCTATAAGAGCCAGGGGGGAAGGGGAATGTGTGCCCAGCCTGGAT